AGTGCTCAGTGCATGCTTCCTTTGTGGCTTGTGCACTCTTCCCACCCCTCAGGGCTCTCAGAACACCGCGTTTGGCTTTGTTATGCCTCAGCTGCCTGTTGTGGTGGGTGGAGGTTCACCCCTCCAGGCTCTGCTCCCTTGTCCCAGGCCACTGCTATCTGCCACCTCTTCTTGTCCTGTCTTTGCTCTCTTGGTGGGAAAGGTACAGGTCACCCCAGGCATGGGGCTGGGGGTTTTTGTTTTAACGTGGATAAAGCACAAGACAACTTTCACAGAGTTGGTAACTTGGTGTGGGAGAAAAAGCTCTTCATCGACAGGAAAAGGTCTGATTTGAAACAACAACCAAAAAAAATTACTTCTCTTGCCTTGACTCCAATCCTTCCCCTTTTAGCCGTTATAGGGAAGGTGAGACCAGAGAACAAAGACATCTCTTTCCCAGCTGGTTTGTCTCCAGTCCTGGCACCCAAAGTGCCCCAGCCTGCTGCCCCAGGCTTTTGGATCATGCTGGGGCCATCAGCACAGTCGAGCCCCACACATCTTTTCCTTCAGGTGAAGTTCCACTGAGCAAAAGTTGGGAGCTGCAGAGGTCAGTGTGTGCCCCAGGGAATGTCCTGGCCACATTTCCAGTCCTTCAGGCACAAAACCATGGAGCCACAAGGAGCTTTGGCAGAGCAGCTCCCCACTATCATACCTCACAACCCCAGCCACAGTGCCCTCCCTTGCTTTGCAGCAGCTCCTGTTCTCTCCATCCCTGCTCACCACCACATAAACACACACAATGCCCCCACCAGTCCCAGGCATTTCCTGGGTGAAGCAGGTTTCTCTGCACTCAGTTCCTCCCTAGGTGATGGGCATGGAGCCTCTTCCCTCCCACTCCTAAAGCCAGCACTCATAAACCTTCATTTGTGTGAGGATGGGTTTGAGCTTAGCTCAGCAGAGCTGCTCTCCAGCCGGGCTTGCACAGCCCTTTCTGCGGGTGGGTGATCACTGGGGCTCTGGAAAGTGACACATTTTTAACCTAAGTGGCTCAAAGCCAATGACACTGTGCTTGTGACACTGCTGGCCTCCAGGACAGCCTGGATGGGCCACCATGCCTCAAGGATGTCCCCCACGATGCCCTCCTGCTGCAGAGACATTGGCACAGACTCTGCTGACCGTGGGGACACCAGGCAGGTGCATAACTAAACTCTGCTGTGCTCCTCTCACATCCAGACACAGACTTGTGCTGGCCAAACATAAGCAGGCATCACTTGAACCATGAAACACCCAGAGCTTTTCTCCTCAAGTGAGGATTTAGGGATAGCAATTCCTCTTCTTTATACAGAGATGTGTGGTGCTCAGGGTTGCTTTTTGAGAGCTCAGAGAATGTGCATTACAGGCTGTTGCTCCTCACATCTCCTGGGTTTGTTCCAGGTGAGTGGACTTGGAGGATTTTGTTTTAGTTTTGATTGTGCTTCAAGGTATCTTAAAGCAGATCAGCATCACAAGGATGAAAGCTCCACGTCCTCATAGGCTGGGAACTTCCTGCTGGGATTAAAATTGGAAGGAGACAGCTCACCTGAAAGAAAATTCAGCTTCTCCTGTTGCTTGCAATGATAAGGAGACTGGTTACACCAGAGCACAACTTCAGCCTGCACAAGGGGAGCTGTTTCTCAGGAGTGGCTGCTCCCCACATGCAGTGCTGGTGAATTATCTTTGCACTCCCACAGAGCAATAATTTTTCCTGTCTGCACCCAAATGTAGGCAAAGTCAGACACCCATAGTTCATGTGCAGAGGTTCAAGTGACTGTGGGCTTGGTGAAGGTGAACAGAAGTGGATGCACACTGAACACTACAAATGAAATGTCTGGGAGAGTGAGCACAGGCTGAACTAAGCAGGACAGCAGAGCACAGCTTGCTGTGTCATCAGTTTCAACTACAGGGCAAAGCTGGAGGAGGACAAATGCCTCAGGTTTAAATGTTACCCAAGAGGAACGTTGTTCTGTGCGCAAAGAAAGGTCCTTATGCCACCCATCATTCCTCTTTGGGATGACTAAGGCTCAGCCATTCAGCACCAAGCCCATTTTCATTTGATGATCCAAGCTCCAGTTTAGCCACAATAGTTGGAGTCAAGGAACAGGAAAGAACCTCCTTGCCACCAGCACTGCTCCAGTCAGATACAAGGCAGACCCCCTGGCTGAGCAAGCCCCACTCAGGGCCAGCCCTTCTGGTTTTACCCCAAAACAGCATGATATATCAGGGTTCATTCTGATGTGAGCCTGAAAAACCTGCTGGTGTGCAGCACATGGAAGCAGCAGACAAGTTCAATGTGTTTGCAGTTTCCTTGAACAAAAACGTTCTGGGTCAAGAATAAACATCTTTGCTGATTTCAGACCAGCACATCTGGTTGTCTTGCAGCAGCTTCTACAAGGCAAGCAACTGTGCCTGAGGAAATGAAGACATCAAAGCACCTCTGCTAGAGGCTGACTGAAGAAAAGGAGAGGTCAGCTTTAATATTGCATTTGTTCCCATGGCATAAAATATCCATGAGGGTTGAGCAGGATACAATTCATCTCTGAACTGTGGGGCTCACACTGAGCATGCCCTCAGTTCAAGCATTTAATGGAAAGGTCATTAGTTAGTGTATTTAAACTAGTCTCATGTAAACACAACACTCCAGCCTCAGCTGGGCTTGTTTGCCTAGGTTAGATTAGAGTGTTAGCTGCCAAATCACAGGAACTTCTATCCACGTACCTTAAAGATATGGGTATTCCAGGGTATTTGCTTCTTATCTCCGGGTTTTAGTGGAAAATTTAATCCCATTAAGTACACAGCTTGAATTACTGAACCCTGGCATGGTCAGACTCCTACAGCCAGAACAGCGCCTGGGTACCAGAGCAGCTCAGAGTCACACTCAGAAATGCCATTTTCCCCAGCAGCAGCACCATAAACTGCAGCCTGTGGCCACTGGTGAGTGCCAAGGCAGCTGCTCAAGCAGAGCTGACCCCTGGAGCCAGCGTGGCCAACACAGACAGCCCTGGGTAGCTCAGCTGAGACCTACGGGCACCCAGCAGGGCAAGGCTTGTCTTCCTGAGTGCTGCTCAGGGCAGGGAAGAGCATGCACAGGGAACATGACTAACAGCAGCTGTGAATAGTTTCCACTCTCCATTACTTCATGCTCTGCAAGGTTAGGTAAGGGGGTAGATGTAGATGACAGATATAAATACAGATTTTTTTTTTTTTCCTCAGGAATAAATAAACCAGAGCAGCAGTTTGCTGCAGCCTTTCACACAGCAATGAGCAACCACAGGAAGATGGAAGGCAAAGGTGCTGCCCCTCAAAGTTGACTTAGGTTTCCAATGCCATAGGGCCAGCCACCAGTATGAAACCAGCATCTCCAGGCTCAGCTGATAACCATGATCTGGAAGGTTGACCATCCCACCCCACTTTCACAGTAAAAACAAAGCCAGTACGTTTGGAAAGCATTTTCAAACTTTATTTACAACTGTCACAGTGACAAAAATGTAGTTTGAAAAAAATGCTAGCTTCTCCCTGAGGCTCAAAAAAGAATTACAGAAATATAGAATGTATATCATACAACAGGAGTTTTACTGGAGTGCTTTGTTCTTTAGATACGTTCAACAACAAATAGAAATATACACAATACTTCCAAAAAAAGGATGCAGACAGAAATATGCAAGTCTTTAGGGCAGACAGCAGGTCTGAAGTCCAAGGATTGCCATCTCACTGCTGCCCACATGGTAACATCTTTGATATAGAGCTTTGACTGGGTGGTACAGATGGTAGAGACCAATAGAGAGTAACACTTAGAAATAAGACAACTGGCTGGTATGCAGGTGTACAAGCTCACTCCAGTAAGACAGCAAGACTAGAACAAGTGTTACAGACACAACAGCTGAATCCATTGCTAGAGGAAATGGTATCACCACATCATGGCTGTTCAGTGATCACCCATCCAAGGTGGGCAGGGAGTGTCTGACTGGGTCTGCGTGGCTGGACCTGAGGCCAGCTGCAGTGTAGGAACACTGAATTTCTCCTGCTTTGTGCTAACTCCTCTCCAAACTCCCATCCGTCCAAAAATAGTTACACAGCTGATAAATTATTGCCATTATGTTGAAACACAAGCAAGACAAGACTAAAACAATCCTGCCAATACATTAAAAGCAGTTCCCAAACCCCACCAGCGTTTAACTACTCATGAGGTATTAAAAATACAAATACACACATGTCCAAATAGATTTTAAAAATGGAACCAGTTATAAGCAAAGGGGGGTGGCATTGGGATTATTATGGAAGTTTGGTTAAGGCCTTGACATTTCTTTTCCTCTTCCATGACCCCAGATTTGGTTTAGGTGGTAACTGCTCTCATCTTATCCCAAGACTGACTGGCTCCCAAGCTGGTCCCCAAAGCTGCAAGACCATCCCTCCTTTCCAGGGGAAGCAGCAGGTTACCTGGTCTGGCAGCAGACTGGCCTTCTCCTTGAGGCAGGACATGGTGAAGAGAGGACAAACCCAGATCTCACAAGCCAGTCTGCACTTCATTAAAACAACCATGAGCGTTTCACCCTCACTAAGAAGCAGGAATGCATCTCGTCTCAGGACACCCAGGCTAATCCTCTCCCAGCAGACCCCATCCTGCAAACCCCGCTGGTGATCCACACTAGATCTGGTGTTTTGTCTTTGGATGACCCCCAGGTCTGGCAGACCCCCTCCCAACACTCCCACCAGCCTGTCCTGCACTGAGGAGGCCCTGCAGTGCAGAGCTGGAGGAGAACCCCCCAGCCCAGCCCTCTCAAGCCCATTGACCAGCAAGTTAAGAGACACAAAACCCTACAACTTCAAGGACACCAGGGCAAGGAGGCATACATCTCCACCCTTAGGCTTGGGGCACTGTACAAGATGAGACCACCCACAGCAGCCTCAGCAAACAGGAGAGAAAAATCTGAGGTGTTCAAACCTACATGAGCTCTTGCTGCAGACAGAAGCACCTTTTTACATCCGATGCGCACCACCTGCAAGATAAGCTAGGGCGTTGCAGGAGAGATGACAAGCAGCAGCCTAATGCTATCCTGCAAACACAGCTGCTCAGCATTGAAGAGTCTAAAGGCAAACAGGGGGACAAAGTAACTTTGGGGAAAGTGGCTGGGAAACAGGCTCAACAGCGAGAGCAAGAAACCAGACTACTCCTATGGACGCTCACCTTACCCTAGGAGGTGCCGAACCAGGGAGAGCTACAGGCCCCTTGTCACTAGGTCATTTAGCCATGCTTCGCTACGGACACCCTTCCACCCCCCAGCACACAAAATGGAAGCTGTAAGAAAGGCAAATCTGAGATATTTTGGCTCTGTTCTCATGCTTTTAGCCAGAGGCAGCTCCCAGCCAAACGCTGCCACCTCCAAGTTTCCTCCCCCTTCCCAAGCTCCCCCCTCAGCAGTCCTCGTGTGGTCACCCTCTGCCATGTGCTTGGAATTTCACTGCTGCCTCCGCCTCGGAAAAATACAGATAATGATCTCGAGAACAGCAAACATTTCTCTGCGTTACTTCCTTCCTTCCTCAGGAGGTCTGGTGACACCGAGGGCTTCAGTTCTCAATACAGAGAATACAAAAAAACTAAGATCTCGCAGGTGCAAAATTGAACTTGTCTTATTAAAAGACTTTCAAAGAAAGTGTGGCTCTTCCTTCAGAAGGGTGCAGTCCCTTGCCTTTCCTCAGACGCCATTTATTGCTCCTTGTTGTCCTTCTTTGCATCTTCACAGTTTTCTTCCTCCTCCTCCTCCTCGTCCTCCTCCTGCACAAGGAACTCCTCGGGCGGCCATCTGAGCTCACCGCTCTCCACGTCGCCCTCCGTGGGCTCCACCACGATGGAGGGCAGGCGGTCCTTCAGCTTGCAGTAGCGATCAAAGTCCGAGGGGTCGGGGAAGATCTGAAAGAGCCAAGGAACACGCTGTCAGAGGGGCTGCACTCGCCAGGCTCGGCCAAAAACACAGCTCCAGACACTCGGGTCTCCAGGGCAGGCTAGTCTGGACACAGAGTCAACCACTGAGCGATGGGAACGCTCTTGGAGTTGTCAATAACCTTTTCCAGTCTCCAAGTAATGGAAATGAGCCTTGCCCAGGAGGCTCCCGAAGCACGCGCTTGCTTGGACAGCGCTCAGCAAACAGGCACCTGCCCTTTTGGATATTTAACCAAATGCCTCACACCCCCCCTCCACCCCTGCTTTTGCATTAATGCTCTTCAGCCTGCACACAGAGCTCTCTCCATCAGAGAATCTGAGATCTCATTTCCTGCTGCTGGTCAGGCTGCACATCAGAAGAGGCTTGCTCTCCAGGCTCTGCTGCTGAGGAGGCTCATGGCAACCCAGGGCTAGCACAGCCCAGACTCCTGCAGCAAGGGCTTGTGTCTGGTATCACTCCAGGGCCACAGAGCCAGTCTGAAATAGCTCAGCTGCATTTTAGAGATAATTCTGGCAGCACTCTGCACACTACAGCTACCAGACATCAGCAGTGAAACTCAGCAGGACACTCATTTTATGGAAGGGCTGGGGACTGCATTTCTTCAGGAAAGGGGTACCTGTGGCACACCCAGCAGTTATGCACTGTACTTCCCATGAATACAAGGACTCCTCGATTTCCAGCCCCTAAAGGTTCACCTTTCCCATTCCATCCCACCCACTGCTTGCCACATGGATGCACAAGCTTGTGCAGTGCAGGGCCCATACTCACTGGTAGTGCCAGTGATGGACACTTTGATCCTACCAGGAACTGAGGCAAAGTGTGAGTAAAGGGAAAAAAATCCCTGCTGGTGCAGTGTTAGCAGCAGCTTTGCATGACTAGATTGCAATATGAACAGAAAAGTTGTGTTACTTGTGGGTAACCTGCTGGGGGAACACCTTCAAACCCCAGCTCATCCAGAAGGGAACTGGATGGGTGATAAAAAGGTTAGGCTATCACTGCTGGGTGATAAAATCCACTGGCTACACCAGACCTCATGGTTAGTAGGCAGAAGATTAAACAACCACCACCTGCTATTTCAAACCATTTTATCAGAGTGTCCATTTCACATCAGAGTTGCATTTAAACACCCCAAAGAAGAAAATGACAAAGTGCATTTTCCCCTTGAGGTTGTAGGCCAGGTGAGAAGTCATGTGGCTGCACTTTCCTTTGAACATCACCTGCATTCCAGTGAGTTACATGAACATCCTTGCAGGGAGCAGCACTGCCAGCCTTGGCCTCAGTCTGAGAGCAAGATCTCATCTGCTTTGATCTCTGTGGTTCCAGTTACAAAAGCAGGCTCCCCATCCAGGAGCCCTGAGCATTAACCATGAAGCCTCATTCTCCTTGTGCCAATCATCTGGGCACTCCCCACCTTGGGAAGCCCTGGCCACAAGAAGTGAAACAACATCCTATCTGCTCCTTCAGCCTAGCAAATATTAGCTACAGCATCACCTCCTTGGCCATCCTCAGGCTTCTACTGTTCATTTTCCTTCACACCCAAAGCTTTGTGGCAATCAGATTGGGAAAGCCATCGGGCTGCTACCTAACACAAATTCAGACAAGGGAACAGAAAGAAACGCACGAATCGGGGGCTGTTTGCACGTGATCATCTGGTCCTGGGGACAGTGGTGCAAGACTCCAGCTCCCACCACCCCTGTTTTTCAGGTGCACAAGAGCAGCTGAGGTCCCTTGAACACAGGCACATCAACCTGGGCATTGCAGCGTGAGCTGCTTGCTATTAGTCACTCCCAGCACCGGTGAGACAGCAACTGTTTCTTGGAACTTTGTGGCTTCTGCTTGGCCAAACAAAATCAGTTTCAGGCACACAGTGCATTACTGAAAGTACAGTCAGTGGCTCTTAAGCATCAAGTTATCTAAACCCAGGATAGGGAAAAAAATACTCTTGACATTATATGGTTTAGAAAGTTGCAATGGAAAAAAAAGTGTGGTTCAAGAGGTTACATAAGCTGATAATGTCATGAAAATAGCCTCCTATGGAAGAAAAATAGCAGTATAATAATTAAACTAACCTTTGGCTGCTATTATTTTAAGCACATTAGGTCAAATTGGAGCAATTTCTTTGAAAATAGCCTGCCAGATTTTTTTTCCAGAAACTAAGTAGTAGTCATTTCCTTACAAACAAATATCCGCAAAATGTGGTGTGCAGCTTTTTTAATAATAAAAAAAAAACCCTAGCACAATCTTATCTCAAACAGCTGCAGGACAGGCCAAACCCAAGAAGGTCAGGATTTTTTCCACTAAGTCATGTTTTTTAATCGTTGAGGCAGCATGAAGGGAGATGTTGCAACTGCACTTTGAAGGGGCGTGGACAGTCAATGGAAAAAACACAGAAAGGCAGATTTCCTCCAGTGTGATGGGCAGAGTGACAGCAGTCCAAGCACAGGGGCCCAAGGAAAAAGGGTTTGAGACTTAACTGTACATCTGGGGAAGCCAAGTGAGAAGGTTAACCCAACCAGCCTCCCCCCTCCTCTTCACAGAAAAAGATAAGCAAGCAGCACTCTCTCTGTCCTGCTCCAGTAGGGCCATGCTGCATTTATTGCAGGCCTTATTTATCTTGTCCCACTCCAGATCTAGACAATGGGGAGAAAGAACCCCCCTAATTTACAGCAAGCTCCACACTGGGGATTGCACAGCTCAGCTCTGACCTGGGAGCTCTGCACCCTGTGGCACAGCAGCCAGGACAGCAGCACCTGCCTCCTCCAGGCCTTCCTGCCCAGGGCTGTGGGAGGAAGGCTCTGCACCTCCCTCCCCACAAACAGAGCAGGAGCCATGGGTTAGCTTCTCCCTCTCTGCATGACCTTGCACACAGCTGAGGCAGGCACCTTCCCCTGGCAGACCTGCTCACTCGATGGGGACAAGTGACAAGCAAGTAGCTGTGATGGCTGCCTAAAAGCAAATTTGCAGCAACTCAGAGGCATCTTCCACCCCTTCACTTGCACGACACAGCACAAGGGCTGTACCATGCACAACACAGAGCATCCCCTGTAGCTGAGCCCCAAATCCTGGCCAAGGAGAGAGACATCCAACACCTCTAGATCCACAGAGGACATGACATGTGTGTTGCTTCTTACACCATTCAACACAGCTTCTTGCTAACAGCAAGACTGGTTTTTACAGGCCCCTCTGGATTTCTGTCTGGGAACTGCTCTCCTCATGAACTTATCCAGATCACACACAAATCAACCAAACTTTTGCCTTGCAGCTGGAAAGGGCAGGGAAAAGCAGAACTTGAAACAAAAGCCTGAAATGATTTTAGGACGATCATGTTTGCCTCTGTTTCAGATGATCCAGCTCTACTATCCTTGGATGAAGTCCTGGCAACAAGAATGGAAAGTTTTCATTGCCCTGGGGAGGCTCATACCCTCTCTCAGCATTCACAGGGATGGAGAAACACCAAAAGCAGGAGAGATGTCAGGCAATTTAGAAGATTAGCTCAGCACTACCATAATCCAAGTGACACTTGTAAATCCAAAACAACTTCCACATGTGTGCTCCATACCAACACCCATAGTTAAAATGCCTGTCTCCCCTCCCATGGGGCTGAAAAGTATTTAAATTGTATTACAGGGAGACTAAAGCAATGACATCTTTCCAAATTAAGTTACTGGTTTGGGGGAAAGCTTTGCTTGACTGTGGTAGCTCTAGACAAGACTGCAAAGTCCACACTGGGAGACATCCCACTCCAGGCACAGGATACATCACTCATCCTCCTTGGACTGAATGGCTGAATTTTGGGGCTCTTCAGCAATATCAATATTCCAAATCCCAAATCAGCATTGAAGTTCTGAAAATAAAACTTTAGTGCCACTGAGAAGCATGGCAAGCTCCTTTCAGGAAGTGCTTTGGTGGCCTCTCTGGAGGGCTCCTCCAGCCACAATGTATACATTTACTCACACAGCAGTCATGACTCAAAAACGAGCTCCAAGTATGCACATGGCAGCTGTGACTCAGGTTGATGAGCCACAACAACTCCCCAGCCACAGAAATACTGCCCTGTTTCAGGGCATGATGTCAGGGAAACTTCCTACATCTAACCATTTTCCCTCAGAGTAACAAGGCATCAAAGTAGGGTGGAAAAAACACACTCTGAGGTGTTGCTGCTCTGTCCTCAGTGTGGATTTCAGTGGAACACTCGTGCACAGCATAGCTGCCAACATGATTGCTTTTTTATCTGTTTATCCCATATCCTGCTTCTGTCCTCACTGAGGTCCCAGACCCTGGAATACACATTGACTCTGCCCATTAATCTTGTCTAGCAGCCGTGCTTGCTATCACCACCTTTTTGCAGCCTGGCCTCAAAGCCTTCCACAGCAGCAAGCAGCACCTCCGAAGGACTTCCCCTGCACAAATCAAAGCTGCACAGACGTGAAGCACCTGACAAGAAAACAATTACAGAGGAAGTTCAATTTCCTTTGAGCCAACAGCCCTTGGGCCAGTAACACACTGGTGGTCCAGTTTAACTGGAGGGATCCAGCACACACAGCTCCCAGGGAAAGCCAGTGCTTCCCCAGGGCTGGTGAGGTGGTGTTGCACTCACCAGAAATGACTTCCCCAACACCAAGCTTTTGGCACAGCCACTGGAGAGAGCCTTAAGCCTATTTACCCAGATTCAGGCACTCTGACGTGATTGCCAGCGAGCTGTGGCTGTGATTAACCCGCACAGATCCCAGCATGATGCGATCACCACCTAAAGAGCTCAGGCTCCCCATGACAACCAAACCTCAGCTGCGGGCACGAGGCAAGCCCAGCCTCTGCAGGCCACTCTCCTGCAGGGCAGCCTCAAGGAGCAGCGAGCCCCCTGCCAGCCAGCCTGCAGCAAAGCAGCTCGCTCAGCTCAGCACACACACTTGGGGCATTAAGGCACTTTCAGTTGTGCTCAGGCCCTGCTCCACTTCCAAGAAGCAAGGTAGGACTGCAGTCAAGGCGCTGTTTTGACAACAGCTCCACGAAATGATTAATTCAGCCGCGGTTTCAGCGGCATTGTTCGTGCTGCTGGGAGACAGCACAGAGGACAAGCTGGCAGAGGGCTGACGAGGCTCTTCAAAGCACAGGTATTTCTGGGGCTGGGAAACAGCAAACAGTGCATTGGCCCTGGCTGGCAGCAGAAACAGCCTGGCTCGCTGGACACTGCCAGGCAGGAAGTGTGTGAAGCCCTCCACAGCCACATCTGTTTGCAGCAGGGGCAACTTGAGCCATCAGCTGCATTTCAATGAGTTTTTTGTTTAGTAAGTCCCATGGGAATTATGGGACATCTATTAAAGATCCAGAAATAGCTTCTCACTGCAGGCACAAGACCCAGCATGACATCATCTCTTCAGTCACATCTTCTGTTTTGTCTATGCTGCCCTGTTCTGAGACTCATGCCCCAAATTCACCACTCACTTCTGCTCAGGCCCTTGGAACCTGAACCATCTTCAGGGGGATCAGACAGCAGCTTGCTGTCACAAATACAGTAATAAAAGCTGTCTTACAGAGCATGATTTTGAAGCTAGCGCACTAGCTTACAAGCATTTTACATATTAACTGGAAAAAAGGCAATCCTATGATGAGAAAGCATGATTGCCTTAAGCCTATGGAAGAACTCAGTTAATATTGGTATTCCTTCTGTAGTCTGAGTTTTCACTATTGAGCAGTGATGACCAGCTTAGCAAAGGGCACAGTGCTTAACCAGGGAGGAGAGTGCAGACATTCAGCTCATGTCTAGGACAGACAGACACCCCAGTGGGTGAGGGATGCAGAAGCAAAAAGCCAACAACCCAAGCTCCCTTCACAACCACTGAGACACAGAGGAGCCAAGAAGTTCAGTGAACTCCACAAGACAGAGGAATCCGATTGCTAAAGTTTATAATCAGGGTATGAGCTTGCTTTCTCAGTTTACTTCCAAATAAACCAAAAAAAAAAAGACTTTGAAACAGTTCTCTTGGTAGGACAAGTCTGTCTGCAGCGGGTACTGATGTGCTCCAGAATTCCAGCAGTGGAGCTGGGCTGTACCACCTCCTCTGGTCCAGACAGTTCCATGCCTGCCTCTGGTGGCAGAAGCAGCCCCCAGTCTCGGGCAGCATCCCACTGACCAACTCCCAGGCAGTCCCTGCTCTACACAGCTTGAAGGGGGAATTTTGAACCCCAGTTTGAGGTCTTCTCTGTAGTAAAATGAATTCAAGTTCTGCTAAATGAACAGGACAATTTTAAAGCTAAAAGCTTGATTCTGGCTCCACTTTTTATTTTTTGCCTCTCATAGCCAGCACAGGGCTGTTACACTGTGAGTGCCTGACTCTGCAGATGAGTGGAGGAAGATGCTGCAGCTCAGAACAACAAGCCTCAGTGTAGGAGCAGTCATGCTCCATTAGCCCTGTCTGGTTTTAAGTTATTGCACTACAGCTCTCAGACAAGCATACAATTTTCCATGTACCAAACTCTCTCCATCAGCAAGATGAGGCACAAAGTGCCAAAGTCTGAGGTAGAACAAAAAGTCCATGGTGCTATTTGCATCAGATTTGCCCTTGCTGGTCTCAGCTGACTTTTCAACCCTTTAAGGATGCTTTCTACTTACCTTGACTTACACTGTGACATTCTCAGCCTAGCAGCCAGAGAAGGAAGGCTGGATCCTGCTCCCCAATCCTCTTTACACTAACCTGATTTAGAGGTAGACCTCCTACACAGCCCACACACTACTAATGCCATAAGGGTCTTCCATTTCAACTCCTCTACTCTTGCTGCCACCACTCTTCACCACATCAAGGTGAAGTTTTCCTTGCAGGCATTTGAAAAGCAATTATCTACCACTAGAGCACTAAAGAGAGCAGATCCAGGATGCAGAAGCCCGGCACAGATATGAGTCGTCAGCTTTTATGACTCACATGTTCAGGTGATCCACTCAAAACCAAACAGTCCTGTTCCCCAGTTGGCCAAAGCAGACTTTATCAAGGTCATTAGCACTTGGGGAAGAACCTGACTGAAGTGATCATTAGAACAAGCAGGGCACCTGGATTCTGCCTCTCCCTGGGAATTTGGATGGGTAGATTGAAGGATTTGACCTGATTGGGTTAAGCCTCTTCATAAGGTGACCCATAAAGGCAGCCCTTGCAGGTTACTTTGATTGCTACAGATTTAACAACTGGCATTGCCTCTGCACTCTGTAAGGGAGGAAAGAGAGGCTGCACACTCCCCACAGCTCAAGTACTGAAGCACAGCACAGCTATGAACCAAACAACTTGCATTATCCAGAGCCGGAATCCTGACTAAAAGAAGGAATGCATCCCCTTTTCCTCTACACAGCTATGCCTTCTGCTGGAGGCCTCGGTGGTGGCCCAAAGTTCAGTCGATTTCATGCCCGGGTGCACTGCTGCTGCCTTGCAGTTCCCTTTTCAGACAAACATTCAGCACCTCATCTGAATGCACACTTGGAGCAAATGCCTCCGTGCAGATTGTGTAACATCTGCAAAGGACAAAGCCTGCATCTGGATGTGCTGGTAAGAGTCACCCAACACACAGAGCAGATGCAAGTCGTCTGCCAGCATCCAGCATCTGTGTCAGAGCTCATCAACGAGCCTCCTGGAAGTAAGGAAAACCATGGAGCTGGGAAGCTAAGGTGCCTAACTTGTGCTGTGATTAACTACAGGCTAGGAAATGAAAGGGATGTTAAAACTAAATCTAGCTGCAGACCACTTCTTCATTGATCTAGAGACAATAGCTAACTACATTGTTCAGAAGTTTCAGAATGAATGCAACTCGTGCCTCCAGGTACCGAAATCTCCAGTGACATTTCACGGCTCATTTAGGCTGTGTCTGCCCTCACTGTCTCTCACAGAGGATTGTTAACCCTTTCAAATGGGCACGTCAGTCAGGAAAATCAAGAACAAGATCAAAAAATGTGGATGCCATATAAACAGCATCCTGCTCTCAGCAGATCAGCTCTATGCTGTGTTACAAAAATCTCATGAGCCCTCTCAGCCCAGTGAGTGCCATGAATCCTCCTTTAACCCATCTCCCACTGAGCCCCGGGAACGCTGAATGAGCAGGGGCTCGGTCACTTCAAAACAAATGAATCCTCTGCCAACCCACACTGATAGCGAGGGATATTTTAGACAGCCATCTCCTGCCAAGCAAGCATTCCAGTCTGTTGACTAGTTCTCACTACTGCAAGACCTGCCATTAGGTCAGGCTATGGAAACGTGAGTTAGACCAAGCTTAACAGTGTAGCCCAGGCAATTCCACACGGGATTAGTGCCTCAACCGCCAGCCAAACACTCACCTGATACGACAGCCCATCCTTGCGGGGGCTTAGTCCGATCTCATCCATGGCTGGGGTGTTCATCATCACTTCAGTCATTTCAGCGGATCTCAGATAATCAGAGCTAGAGACAAAAGACAGCATTCCAGTGATCCGAGGGGCTACGGCAGGACCGAGCACGATTCAAGCAGCGAAGCGAGCAGCGGAGACTGTAGGCAGTCTATTTCTGGTCCCTTCCTTCCTGCCCCCCCTTGGAAGGCAGCGGAAAAAGCTCAGTCCCTCGTAAGCTGGAGCTGCATCCAATGCCCTGGGAGCACCTCCCCGGCTCTGCCCAGGAGCCCCAGCACAGCCGGGGACGCTCCGGCAGCAGCGCTTCGCTGTTAGCCCAGCTTCCCCCAGCTCTGCCCCGCTGGGAGAGAGGGGGGAAGTAAAAAAACCACAGTAAATAAAGTGCAAGCGCGGGGGGCTTGGTTTTTCTTTCACTTTTCTTTTTAATTTTATTTCTCAAGCCGGTGCGCTTTAGCTCCCACTGACTTATTTTACAACCTCGGGGACTCCCACGCCAGCGGAGCGCGCGACGCCAATTCCAGCTCGGCTCTTCCAGCCTTAATGGAATTTCCAGCGCGAGAAAAGTGAAGCGAACTCCCTCCCGCAGCCGCTCACCCGTCCCGCTACCGCCCGCCGGGGAACCGCCGCCACCGGCCGCCGGCCCCTCGCCGCATCCCGGGGCCCCTCGCCGTCCCACTCCTCGCCTCACCCCGGGGCGGCTGAGGCGGCATGAGGGGACACGGTCGGCTGAAGGGGCTCGGCCTCAAGCGTCCCCCCGCCCGCCCCTCACGGGAAGCGCCCACTCACCAGGGCAGGGGACACAGCACAGACATGAAGTCCCAGCGGAGGCTGCCCCAGGCAGGGGGTGGCGGAAGGGGCACCCAGGCGCTGCGGGACGATGCGCGGCGCTGCCGGGGAACCGAGCAGGGTCCCTCGCACCTTGGCCGCCGCCTCGGCTCTGAGCCCCGCGCTCGCCGCCGCGCCGGCTTAAATGGCCCCGGGGGGCGTGGCCCGGTCTCAGCCCCGCCCACCTGCCTGACGTCAACTTTTTCATGAATGGCCTCGGCGCCGCCCGCGGGGGGAAGGTGTGGGGGGGGGTGTCCGTCTGTCCGTCCGTCTCATGTCCCCGCCACAGCCACCCCGTGCCGGGCGTTCCCAGTGCAGGGAGGTCAGAGCGGTGTGTTCCCGCTGTCCCGGCCCGGGCCGAAGCGGGGTGCGGCCCCCCGGCTCTGCTGCCGGCACCCCGAGCATCACCGCGGCTGGCGCTGGGTGTCACGGAGCGGAGCGGGTCGCGGCCCCTTCGTGGCGGTGGCGGCCGGGGACACGGGCAGGGACGGCAGGTGCCCAGAAGGGGCAGCGGCCGCCCAGCCCCACTCCTGCCAGCATCTTCCGTGCCCCGCACCGCCGGCGGGGGTAAAACCTGAGTGAGCAGCTCCAAGGGGCCGAGTTATATTTAGCAAAATAATGTGAATCAATGGCGGGAAGGCGCAGGAACAGAGGGAGAGGCAAATCCATTCGCTTCCCCGGCAGCGTGGGCACCGCGGGCAGCTGTAGGTAAAGCACATTTCCTGCATTCCCCTCCCAACGTGAAACTTCTGGAAAGCAAAGTGCATCTTTGGGAGAAAGGCCTGGGCATCCCAAGGACAGCATGACTCCCGACTTTGTGCATCGATCTGCTGGTGTTTGTACAGCCCGAGGAGCGGGCTGTTCCCCGAGGCACATGCCACGGGATGGGCCGGGCTCTCCAAGGCTGCTGAGAGACGCTCAGGGCTTCTGGGGACAGTTCCCCCTCTGTTTGCTTTCCCAGGGATGTTGCTGTACGCTGGCAGGTGAAGTTTAGTGCCGGGACTGTTTGGATTCCACCTGTTGCTCCGTGCTGCTGCTCAGACTTTGCCAACACGGTGGATAACCAAGCACACACTTACAAACGCTTCTCCTGTTTCCCTCAAACGCAGAACACTCAGCTGCTGCTGTGCTTCACACACATGTCCATGCACGGGCAAATACGTGCTATTTGCCCCAGTATATCAGTGCTAAAAAAGCACAAGTTCAGTGTGTCTGAAGGGAAGCTTTGCCCTCAGCTCCACTGATCTACCCTCCAGACTGTGTATGAGTGTGTACATCCCTACGTGCATGTGTTTCATCAGAGCGGATAATTTAATCTTCTTAGATTGATATTATATAATGTGAGCGTATGTGGGTGTTTCACATCAGGCTGCAGCAAGCTGCTGCTTTGTGCCACATTGGAATGAATCACAAGGAGTCAGTCGAGCCCCTGCAAGCGTGTGGAAATTCAGGTGGGTGGCAGTGAGTTCCCTGCAAAGGGCCACCAGTCACCTTCCACAGGGTTAAAGGGAGGGAGGCAGCAGAGGGGACTGGGTGCGCACAGTCCCTTTGCCCTCCTTGAGCCTCCTGACAATGAGGTTTGGAGTCAGGGCAAGGAGTGAGAGGACAGCCAAGTCTCCAAAATGCTGGGGAAACAGCTTCCCTCTGTTCTGGGTGGACCTGGCCTGTCCACCCAGACCCCCTCTCCCTGCTGCGTCCCCTGGGACACACATGTTCACATTGGCTGTCTTTGCTGATTTCTCCACTAAGAGAATACCAAGACTTGACTTGTAAAATGCTTTTTTGATGCAGAACAGCCCAGGTCAGTGCCTGGTAGTATGTGCAGAGGCTGGGAGACCACTCTGGGAGAAGGAGAGAGACAGGGTGCTGCTTCAGTCAAGTCTCTTAAAATTAATTTTCCAGCCTGCCCCAAGTGCTTTCTTCTCCCACCACATCCAGTTAAAACGTGGGACATGAGATGGGGACATAGCTCAGTTCCCTAGGATGTTTCATCCAAAGCAACCCTGCCTGTGTCCCTCAAACACATACACACCTGCTATGGATTTCCTGGTGGTGTCTGTACAAAATAAAAGCTGATAAAAAACGCACATGCCCCCCAGGCCCTCTTTCACCAGGCCCACTGATTTGTCTCTCTAAATGCCTTCCTACGCTCAGCAGGGCTTGAAGTTCAAGGTTTTTCTCTCCTTGGGAAGCTCATTCCTTTAAGTATATAATTTTTGATACATCAAAGTCCCTGAAGGAGGTCAAGGGACAGAAATGGGACTCAACCTCTCCTCCATCCAGCCCCCATGGCTCCTGCAGCCACAACTGAGAAAAAGCAGCTCAGATCAGCCCTTTGCCTATGTCCTCTGGGCTCTGCCTTGCCATCTTGGCTGGCATGGGAAGATATTCTAGTTTCCACCTGGATAAGTGCCGTTCAGGGGGTGTGAGAGGGATGACACAGAACAAAATCCCTGGGCTGAGTCTGTGTGTGTCTGTGCTGAGTACACAGATTACTTCCCAATGACTGGGTGAGAGCATGGGCCCTGGCCCTGGCCAATTCCCATCGGGAGCCCTGGGGATCTGTGCTTTTACTGGCTCCAAGCCACGGTGAGATCTATCCGTGTGATTAACCCTAAATGTGTTAACAGCCCTTTAGAAAGCACAGGCACACCTCCCGTGATTCCCATCAGTGATTCCCATCAGCCACACTTGGCTGCTCCCCTGCTTCGGGGTGGCTCCCGTGGCCACCAGGGTGAGGTTCCGTGGGTGAGCTGTGCACCAGGAGCACTGCACCTCTGGCCCTACCCTTGGGGGAAGTCTTGCTGAAGGTATCCAGGTGTCCCAGGGATGGAAGATGTGTTATAAGCCTGGGAAGGTGTTCTCCATGCAAGGGAGTTGTCCTATAACAAACAGCTCCTCCTGCTTTTCTTGCCCAGCCAGGTGTGAAAAGCTGGGGCTGCAGAGGTGAGCAGGAGGGGCTGTTGTACCTGCGGCTCCCACCTTGCTAAGAACAAGCTTTCCTCTTTGGATAAGCCTTTATATCATGTCTGGGCTGAAAATGAGGGAGCCCAATTAACCCTTGAGCTGCTGAGCTGCCACCTTGGAAATGGCATCAGTTTTCATTATATCCCAGATCCTGAAATGCCAAGTCCTCACTTCTCTCAGAGAGCAAAGCAAGAGGAGTTTCTTGTCATCCATAAGCTCACAACCACAGAGCAGTACATGGGAACAGAGAATAAGATGAGATTAGCTCAAACTCTTTGATCACAAATGAGAATGAACCCCTGTGCTCATTCTCTGCTCTCTTGATAGCAAGATACAAGCATTTCAAATTGCTACTTTTTTTGTCTTTTATTTTCAGCCAGTTCTAGTAAATGGAGCTCAACCTGCTCTGATTTCCCCCTCTTCCCTTATCTCAGTGTTCACCAAGTCCCTTTTTCACTGCTGTGTATTTTTCCATTAAACACTGTGGATTCCCCAGTCACCTTGGGGCAGGAACAGCAGCACTTGGGCTCTCAGCTGGAGTAAAGGGCTTTCCAGGGCATTGGGCTGAGGGGAACCAGATGAGCCCCCTGCCTTTTTTATTACCTTCAGTTAATTTTATAAATCCCTGTAATATTTTGCTTTTCAGGACAGCATAAACCAACCAACAAATGGAAGCTCACACATTCTGGATCAGCAGCAATCCAGCAGGAGCAGAGTGATGCTGAAGGACAGAGCATCACTATCCTCCTGGAAGACACTTGTGCATCAACAGAGCCAAGAAGATTGCTCATTTCCCTATATTTTCCCCTAACCTGCTTGCAATGTAAGAGTTTTCATTGCATTTGCCTCCAAGCAAGCACAAGACACGGCGTGTCTGTATTTAGATCCCACTCGGCACAGGCTGAGCACACGACAGCCGGCCCCGCTGGCACCCCAGCCCCTCTGCAGCCATGCACGTGGCCACCTCCCTTTTCCAAGGGGCCACTGAGGCTGCACGTGGCCACCTCCCTTTTCCAAGGGGCCACTGAGGCTGCCTGAGGCGACGTGACCAGCGCAGGGTCACCCTCGGGGTCACCTCCATTCGGGAGCGGAGCTCGCCGGTTCTTGTCTCCCAGCCAGCGTTGTGAATCCTACGGGGAAAGTTTCCTAGTGAAAAAATAAACTCTTCCCACTTGGAATTTAAAAACAAAACCATGGAAACGTTTCTCTCCGTCCTAATGTTTTGCAAAAAAGTTATTTTAACAAATTTAAATTTGGGGCTTGATTTGACCGTCCGGTGCCCTTTGAAATAGTTGAATCCAGGCCATCACCACAACCAAGTTGGAGCCAGGCTTTGAGCTCCTGCTTGCCTGACATCCCACCAGCACCTTGGACATTTAAGTCCCCCTCCTCAGCTGAGAGGTGGTCAGGCTCCCCCCAGTTCTGGTTTCCTGCACACACAGTGTGCAGTATCTTGTTTTTGCTTCACCAAGTTTCATGACCCCCTTGCAAATAGTTTGCATGCCCAGGGATGCTGCAGATGAGCTGAAACAGCTGCCACCTGCAGGCTGCCACCTTGGTGGCACCTCCAGAGACTGTCCCATGTGCTTCTGCCCAGCAAAATCTTTCTAAGAGGTGGTGACTGCAGCTCAAACCAACTCTGGGCTGTCCCTGCATGGCCCTACCTGTGCATGACCTGGCACAAACCCTCTCCTGTCCGTGCTCGTGGCACACAATCTATTTATTTCCCTGGAAAAAAACAGGCTCTCGCAGTGTCATTCTTTCCAGCCACTTTCCACAGAGCATCACATTTCACAGTGACTTTCAGAGAGTGATTGAGAAGAAAAGGCCACTCAACGTTTGGCTGTCCTGCTCCGTGTGCCTCGTGTTGAAGGGGGTTGGAGAGCAGAGAGGAAAAATGGGGTTCATACTCTGTGATGAAAAGCAAAAAGGATGGCTACAGCTGGCAGAGTAGAGGGGTTTGATCTTATAGACCCAGCTGGGCTGCTAAGGGCCTGGGAATTGGATCTGCTTTTGCAATGTTGCCTCCGGTTTTATTTTACACTGACCCCCCAGGAAGGAAGGGGCCGTGCTGGAGCTGAGTCTGGAGCCTCTGGTGAGGCTGGCTCGGGGTGGCTCAGCTGGTTTCCATC